GATATTTTTAACGTTTTTTATTGAATATTTACATTTATTTTCAATCTTAATTACCGTCACCTGGTTTTTTACTTTTATCAGAAATAAGGAAAAATTGATACATCGATTGCGGCGAAAGAGATATTAAGATAAGAAATATATAGAAAAGATGGAAGCAAATTTCAAATTTTGGTGTCATTTATCTCAGGTAAGGAAACAATTGTTCATAGTTCATTGTAATCAAATAATTTTTGAAAAATTGTATTTATAAAATCTCATAAAAATAAACTACTGTTAGCTACTTGGAATGGCATTTTTACATATCTGAATTAAGCCATAAAAAAATAATATTAATTTCTAAGAAGGAAATAAGAATTTTTTTCTTATAAGGGGTTTTGCTTTTTCAAATCGGAATTCTTTAAAAATAAATAGTTTGTAAGCCTGGGATTGTGGATAGGTTAAAGAGTGAGTTACAAGGAAACCTGTTTATAGCCAGTTTAATTTAATAGAAAATTATACAATTTTTGTATAAAATTCTCAGATCGAAATTGTTGAAAAATAAGTTTGTAAAATGAAACCTTTTTGTTCACTAATTTTTTTTATAATATGTATCATATCGACTTCCCCAACGAAAACTATAGCAACTCATAAAAATTGGTTTTGAGTTACGATGGCTTATGTAGGGCCGCCCAAAATACAAAAACAATGAGAAATTTTTTTCATAAACAATATTATTACCAATACTTAGATCTTCAGTAATTTTCAATAATATTAAACAGTTCCTTGATTTTTTATTAACAATCAAAGATTCAATGCAGTTTTTCTCAAAACTGTAAATTTTGAGTGACTATAGTTTTCGTTGGGAGAGTCAATATGTATCCTGTATGTAAAATCGGTAAAAGGAATTGAAAAGGAATAAATGTGAAAACCAATAAATGAATGTAACATTATTTATTTAAACAGAAAGAGAACTGTAAATACTTATAGATTAATATAACAATGAAAATTCTAAGAAAAATTCACTACAAACTGATAAAATCTTGAACATACAATCAATGCAATCAATGTAATAACAGCCTTATATGTGTTAAAAGTCTTCACTCACTTAGATTTCAACTGACATCTGCGACTGTTATGACATTGTTTACATCCTAGATATGTTAATATCTATGAAATGCTATACTATGTGTTGTAACAAGTGTATTATGACAAATTTACACCAAATGTGTATAAATGCAAATTTCTCAATTTTGACAATTTTGTCAAAAAGTCTACTGAAGCAGCTCCATCACATAGGAAAACTTGTTTTATATGCTAAAAGTAAGATTTGCAAATGGGTTAAAAACTGAAAAAAGTTTCAGCAAACCACCTAATTTTTACTAGCAGAATTAGTTCCTAAGCTGTGCCAAGACAGAAACCATGGAATAGATCGCTTTGCTAATCTAAAATTCTGATTGTAATAACTTAATTAAAAAAATACATACTAACCGAGATGCCTAACTCATAGTTAATTGAGACATTTTCTGAATATCTTATTTTAAAGATTTTTTGTACATTTTGCAAAAGTATGATAAAAGTTTTTCGATTTTGAATATTCCAGTAGTACCATTCAGTAACTAATGCGATTTCAACAAATTTCAAACCCTGGAAGCAAACATTGTATCTAAGAAAGAAACTATTGAGTTGAAAAATACCGTTTCTTCAATTAATTGTCCTGCAATAATAACATGTGTGAAGGTAAGACCTGCAGTTATAACTAAAGTGACTAAACGAGGATATCTATGTTGAAAGGATCCTTCAAACTTTTAAAGATTTTGTAAAGCGTTTATTTGAATTTACTTACTTACCGAAAATAGGAAAAATATTATACTGACACCTAGAATTACTCCAGTTATGGAAAAAAGCATAATGAATTCTTCGCATTTTTTTTTAACCTTGTATCCAGTGCTGGTGAAATTAAAGTTTTACATACACAAAAACGAGAATGAGTATCTCAACATACGATATAATTTCGATGTGTCGTTTGATACACAGTTTGAGATTTTCTTTGATCTCAGTTTGATATTCGACATTGCTGATTAACTGAAGATCTGAAATATCGTATCCTTGATTAATTTTCTTCACAATGTCTAATAATAAATAATATTGAAACCGCATTTTACTTGCGAGAAAAATAACAATGTGACAAGGCGTTGTCATGATCATAGGTATTAATAAAAAAAACATTCTGTAAAATACACATAACCCATTTTTCCAGTCGGGGAAATATTCTTCAAAAATTGCAATAGCGTAAAAAATTTCTTCATCTTCGTCTAGCGGAATAGCATGAAATATACCACTCAAGACTGCAATAATTGTATTAACAACCATAAATATGTTAATATAGTGTGCTTCAGTTTTGATTCGGCGTTTAGTTTCTGGTTCAGAGTCTTCAATGTCCCAAAAATCCAGCTTTTCTAGAGCTTCGACTGCAGTTGTTGTGAAAAGCGGAATTGCCAAATTAGAAACCAAAATCTAAAAAACTAAAACGGAAGTACAAACAAACTTTTACTTACGAAAATACTTCCGGCGTACATGGGAAGATATTGGACTAAATAACTACTGTCAAATCGTTTGAGAAAAAGAACAGTTTGAATTGCTGACAAAATCAATAAAATGATGAAAATAATTTTCAAAAGAACGTTCATTGGTTTGTTGGCGAAGAAATGCAAACTGATTTTGGCCGAAATCCACAAAAGATCTCGAGACATTTTCTTCAACAATCGGTTATTTTAGACTAAATAATGTTAATAATGTGGAGACGACACAAGAGAAGCTTGATTAGATTTTAATGATGATATGTTGAATAATTTTTGTCTCAAGGTAAAAATACAAATTGGGGAAACTTTACTATTTGTTGGGTTACTCACAATAATTATTAATGCTAACACATAAAAATTAGAACATAACTAATGTTCTAAAATTTTTATTTGACTTGAAACCGAAACTATCGAAGCGACAACTTTCATAACTACAAAGATTAGATTTATTTAACTATAAATA